TTTAATACTGTTATTCACACTTCTGAAAGGTTGAAAGTCTCGTCCTCCAAACTCCAAGAACCCCCCCAGCCGGAGTGGTGGGGGGGGGAATCCTGGGAGTTGAAGTCCAGACATCTTCAAGCTGCCAAGGTTGAGAAACACTGGTTTAGATTATTTGCAAAATGATCAGCTACAGTATGTATTACAAACATGAGAGGGATACTCTATTTTTCCTCTTTCTGTGAAGAGTAAGGGCAAAACTTTTTTTTGTTTTTGTTTTTGTTTTTGTTAATCCAAGAACTGCTGCATTTCAGGGGCAGGGCACTAACCGAAGAGCAATTTGTGAAGTTTCCAGTTGGTTGGCTGGATGGAGCACTGATTGCCTCTTGGTGTACCTGCCTGTGTTCCAATGGCAGCAGGACAGAAGGCAATCTCAACGCTAGTTTTTTTAAGGAGGAACTGGGGAAGGAAGAAAGTTTGTCGAGAAGTGCCCTAAGATACTTTAGATCATAAGTAGTCTTTCAGCTACTAATTCAGCAAAGGAAGTGACGAGGCCATGTTTTCAAGCACATGAAATCCTCTTGCTGTTAAAATAATTGTCATATTCTTTCTGGAGCTTTTTAAATAGTTCAAGTTTTATATTAATGGATGGTTTAGATGCCAAGCCCTTGAATTCAGCAGAATGCTTGTGAGGCAAGAACTTCCATACTTTTGTGGTGATACAAGGAAAAACAGCTTTGTCAGTGATTATGATGGTTTAACGTTATCTTTTCGCATCTTTGTTTAGCTGTAAAATGCAAAGAGTTTGGCCCTCTCCATCAGGCCCTGCTCATGAATTGCACTCATCCACTGGAGCGCTTCAGTTACAGATCCCGTTGTAGCTTCAAGTGTGATAAAGGTTTTACAACAATTGGCCCAGCCCATTTGCAGTGTTTGCCGTCTGGGCAATGGGCAGCAGAAGTACCTCAGTGTGCAGGTAGGTCCTGACACGACTGGTGCCAAGGGTTGGCATCATGGATCTTTGCCAAGGCCATAAACTGGTCATGGGTCAGCTGGGTAAGGTATGGGTGAAGGCTCTTACCACCTTGCTGTGTTTGGGAATCAGCTCCGATTCTCATTCGACAGCTACCTTTGCTATCTTATTATTTAGAAAGTAAGGAGTAAGTAGGGGTGAAAGCAACATTAGTCCAGATTGTGTTTTAATGTGAAAATATTCTTAACTCACATTTCCCAAACTACTGTGTAAACTAAATGGCTGTGATCTGTACTACTCTGAATTCTGTGTTAAGCTGTAAACAGAACGTGGAAATATAGTACATTAGACAGGGCCATTTGCTTGTCAAAATTGATTTATTGGGCAAACCTGTGTATAAAGACACCTGCAGTAGAAGAAATGTCTTTGACTGTGTATCTGAATTTTGATGTAACCCTTAAAAATCACAGATTAATGCATAAATGAAATAAAGCACACTTGAAATAATTGCTATTTATTTATTTATTTATTTCGGTTTCGCATTTTCCACCAGTTTTGCCATTCATCTTTAGTCCCTGTTTTTCTTGCCCAAAATGCCACTTTATACCATGTACGTAGATGTATGAAAGTTCAGAAAAACCCAGTGTTAACTTTTTATCTCCCTACTTTTCCTAAACAGACAAACCTGAAGTGATGCTATATTCTGTAGAATTCAGCAGCTTGCAGTTCCATTTGTGACAAAAATGAAACATAATTATAAAACTATGCTTTTTAGTATTATATGCTAAATATACATTTATGAACTAATATTTTTAACAAAATAACAACACAATATATGTAAATGTGCTAAAAATAAGTACTCTGCATTTCAGTTTTGCTCCAATTTTCTATTTTTTCTAAAAAATTATTTTCCATTGCTTCAAATTTTCCAGAATGTTTACATCTTTTGACCTATATAACACATTGTACCTGATTTATTTCTTTTCTGTCCTTAGCTATCCAGTGCCAGCCATTAAATATCCCTGTAAATGGAAACTTCAGCTGCATTCATATCCATGGGGAATTTCATTACCAGTCTAGCTGCAACTTTAGATGCGAAGAAGGCTTTCTAATAAATGGAGCAGAGACCATTATGTGTGGAGCATCTGGAAAATGGAGTGCTTCAGAGCCAACCTGCCAAGGTTCTGGGTTTTCTACTTCTCCTTAATCTCCATTCCAAGGTTCCTGTGTTAGGCATGAGAATTCAGTAATACTTAGTAGGCACAGCAAGGAGACAAGGAGGCCTTCTGACTGGTCTACCACATCCTTATTGTTACAAAATGCACTAGTTGTCCTGATAATGCCAATACTGTCCACTACTGTATATTTGTAATAGCACCCTTCTCCCACGCATTGGAGTATGCCACAGATAATGTGTTTTTTCTTCCAAAAACTGTCATTTCTGGCATTGTTCAGAGTTCTGGACATTTCATAATGCTTCTCCCTTCCAAAAAAGGTGGTCCTTCTGTAATGTCATTTTAAAGGCATTCACTTCCTCAGACTCTCATTTGATTTTACTTCTCCCCTCTTGTCAGAACATAACTGGGCACCTAACTAGCTCCCAAAGATCTTGTGTTATGTTCACAAATTAGGAATAGTGTTAAGTTATTTTCCTCTCCTTTTATGAAGAAGTGTGTGTGTGTCTCCATGACATATCTGTGCAGTTAAGGAGGAGGAACCTGTGACTGGGCAGCAAGTGAAATCACAGACTGGTCTGCTTGGAGAATGTCATGTTAATCATGGATTGATTAGCTTCGCTAGCAAACATCCCAGCATTTCTCACCCACTGAACTAGCAAAACATAATGTTATAAAAGTGACAAAAAGTGACACATCCAAAAATTAATAATCCAAGCACAGACAAGGATACACAACCTCCACAAAGGTTTGTGAGGCTAATGGCATGAAGTGGTTGTCTAATTAGCTATTCTTTGCTATCAAGGCTAACACCAGATATATATACAATTCAGAAAGCTATTGCTAATCTATACAATTAACCTATTCTGCATATTATTTTCATGCATTTGGAAGACTATTGGGGATTACAAAGCTTTCACAACCCTATTCCTATATCTTCAGCAGCAGCCTGATAAATAAGAATTCATTAGCTGATATTTTTCTTTGCATAGTAAGGAAGTAATGGGAACAGAATTGGCTGTCTGAGTCTCATGTTTTTGGTGGCCTTTAATTACCACAGGAGCTGAGTCAGAAAAAAAAGTAATGCACTGTATTGTTGCAATGCATTTGGAACTGTGTGGTAGGGGAGCTTTTGGGAGTGAATGCTGGGGCTATTCTCATGTCACAGAAGCAGGGCTGGGAATGGTTTTCTGGTTACTCTGGAACTGGTTGTTCTGCTGCTGGATCTTTGGCTACTGCTGACCGATCCTTAGATTCTGCAGACCTTCGGGCAGGACCTAAGAAAGGAGGAAGAAGTGGCTTAAGAAAGGAGCAAGCCACTGGATCGAGAGAGGCAAAGACCAGAAGAGTGGAGTGGCCCAGAGAGATGGGGAAAAAGAGACCGCAGAGAATGTCATCTGATGGGAAGAAAATGGGAGATAGGGAGAGGTCAGAAAAAGGAGATGCACAGGATGATCTGAAACAACCAACTAAATCTTTGTCTGCAACCCTCTCTATTTATTCCAGAGCTGCAATTCTCAAATATGAAAAATGTTTGTCTTCCTTTAAAAAGTCCCGGAGTTGAATAAAATACATTAAATTGCATTTCTATTATTAATGTTGTTGTGACTAATGCACTGGCCCTTTTAGAACCCCCATGAAGGCTAAAAGGACATGGCATGCCCCAATTAATGGTAATATTGCAGACAGACAGAGAGTGGGTATATTTAGTTTGGAAAAGACCCCCTCAATAGTGCAGGCCTATGCTTTGAAAAGTCAGTAATTTGGTGCGATAACCTTTACTTCCAGGCAAATGTGTGGCTATCCATAGGATTAAATTAGATTTGAAGGAAAGCTAGGAATCTTGGAACATGTAATCATAGTTTATCAATCCCATTTACTAAACATATAATTGAATGTAAATACATCTTTTGCATAGACTTTTTATATATATTTTGTTTTCATGTATTCTCTTTATTCTAATTGTATTCCTGTTCTTATTATTTTTTTAGTTAAGCAATGTCAGCCAGTTCGGCCACCTGCAAGAGGAATGATGGATTGTGTTAACCCAATTGGCGTTTATAGTTACAACTCCACATGCAGCTTTGCTTGTGAAACGGGCTTTCAACTTAGCGATTCCCAGACTTTGATTTGCAGTGCATCTGGTCAGTGGACTTCACATGTACCGGCATGTCAGGGTATGGTATCTAACAGAATTGTGTGGACCTTTTCTGAAATCTGATGTCTAAATTGCTGTTTAATCTATTTATTCATAACCTGAGTTATATCTGGAGACTTTGACTTGGCCCATGAAAATCAGTGAGATTTAAATTAACGAATAACTGCTCTCAGTGATTTCAGTGGATATACTCCAAGTACAGTAGAATAAAGATTCAGTCCAAGCCATTCTGGTTCATAATTTTTTTAAAAAATCTAACTATAATATATTACACTATAATATTAAGAATTCACAGATTACAATTCATTTAAGCTTATTGGCCTTCTGCAGGTTTTTACGTTATATTTAAATGTTATAACTGATGATGTGAAGTAACTGGTGAGGAGACCAGTGCCAACTGACTCAGTACTGAATCTAAAAAAATACTGTTTTTGTTTAAGGAAATCCAGAACTTGATAGCACAAGTAGTTAAAATGTTCAGTGGTTGGTTACTTGGATAAGATGACAGCAGTTTAAAATCAAGTCCTTCCAATTACATATAGAATATTAGTACCTTCATGCAGAAGGATTGATTTAAAGTGCAGGATGTGTTAGCTGAAAGACAGAGGATCAGAAGGAGTCTGGTGGCACCTTTTCTGACTAACAAATTCTATTAAAAGGGCTACATTTTTGTGAGCTGCAACTCACTTCAAATACATAAAGTGCCTAAAATAATGTAGGATTTAAATTGAGGTGAGGTGGGGAGAGAGGAAAAGACAGGTTGGTTATGTAGATGCGGTTTAGACGTGAGACAGAGATGTTGCTCATGAAAGCTTATCCCTTTTAATAATGTTTGTTAGTTGGAAGAGGTGCTGCTAGACTTCTGACTTTTTGCCACTGTAAACTAACATGGCTCTCCTCCTACAGTGAAAGGCAAAGATGACCTCTTCCCTTTCATCTTTCCACAGTAGGTTTTGGTTGGTGGAGGATCCAATTTTCTGTCATGTGACTTATCATTAAGCTCCAGATGAAACAATGTGACTAGGGGACAATGTATGAGGGCATAAATAAATAAATAAATAAGTGGTATTTCTTCCAAGCTGTCTTCAAACAGCTACCTGTATTTAAACCTGCTACCTGTATTCATCCTGATTGTTGTTTCTGTTTCCCTCCTTAGCTGTTCAGTGCCAATCTCTAAAGGCACCCGCTCATGGAAATACCACCTGTGTTCATCTCCATGGGGAATTTCAGTACCAATCTAGTTGCACCTTTTTTTGCACCGAGGGTTTTCATTTACTTGGAAAAGAGGTCACTGAGTGCACAGCTTCTGGAGAATGGACAGCCCCAGCCCCAGTTTGCCAAGGTTTGGGAGTTTCCTCTTAAGGTCCTTCTTGCCCACATACCAATTATTTTGAGAAACAGAAACAAGTGGCCTTTTAGCATTTAGGATAAGGGGATAGATTTACCCCTTAGCATTTGCATTGGGAGAAGGGAAAAAAATAGGAGAGAGAGAGAGAGGGGGAGAGTGGGGGGGGGATTCTTGTGAATAGAACAGAATTTTTATTATGGTCACAGATACAGCCATTTTTCTAAGTCTGAGTGTAGCCTCTTGTATAAACATTATGATGTAACAGAACAGAGCTCATGTTTTGCCTGCTGAAATCAAGATCCTATTTTCAATAGAGATATTTCTTATTAAGAGGATCTTAGATTGTAGTTGTGAGGAATGGTATCTCTGCATCATATTTTGAAGAGCAGTTCTATTTCAGTTGTGTTAAGCTCCGAATCCTGTGTAATGAATTCTACTTTCTTCATTTGAAGGAAACATCATCCTTGCTACAGATTTTGTTATATGAATACAATATTTATATGAGTGTGTGTGTGTGCACGCATGTATATGTGTGTGTATTGCTTATACACATGTCCTGTTTCTATTTCAATTGCTGAGTACCCAGTAGTATGCATATTATCACCCTTGCTAAACATACGTATACAAAATATACACACAGTTTATTACATCCACAACTTGTTCTCTTTTTTATTTCAGCTGCCAAGTGCCCATTTCTACATAGGCCAGCAAATGGCCATTTAAAGTGTCTTCACCCTCATAGCCATTTTGCATATGGTTCCAGTTGCAACTTTTCCTGCAATGCCGGTTTTCAGCTGGTTGGGCTGGCAACACTTGAGTGCACAGCATTAGGAAACTGGACTCAAGAAATGCCATATTGTAAAGGTCAGTGTTAAGTGGTAAGGGATACAGAAACTGTCTGAGGCCCTCTGAGAAATGAAGTGCCAGAAGCAATGCCTGACACATAGTGGAGAAAGACTAAAAGTGAATCTGATCAAGCAGCCTACACTGTGGTGATAAGGGAAGCAAAGTGGGCTCACTTCTCCTTACTGAACTGTCAAGCTGTGGTCCAGCAACTTTGTTTAGGGTCACCAACTCCCTTTTAGAGAGAAATCATTATAGAGATATCCTGCCTGGCTATTTTGACCCATCTGCATAGCGTTATGCCAACCAAGTCTTGTTTTCTCATGGGCAGAGTTTTTGATGGTGACTAGGGCACTGTATTGCCTGGGACTCCTTTGGGTTCGTGACCTTCAAGGAAGTGGATAGGGTGCTTTCTAGATTGTTCTTTACCACACATAACTTGGACATCTGCCCAGCCTGACTGTTGCGAGGAATATGTAGAAAGCTGATCACTTGGATATGTGAGTTTGTTAACACCTCCCTAAGTAAGGGGGAGCTGCCAGCGGGCCTGAAGGAGGCTATGATGTGCTCCCTTTTGAAAAGGCCATCTCTAGTCCTAGAAATCCTTCCTTTTGGGGGGAAGATTGTTAAGACAGTGGTGATGGACCAAGTACATAACACCCTAGAAGAAGCAAATTATCTGTATTCTTTTCAGTCAGGGTTCAGGCCCAGACATGAGACAAAGATGACTTTGGTCACTCTTCTAGATGACCTTTGTTGGGACCTGGCTGGGGATGGTGTACCTCTTCTGATCCTTTTTGGGCTCTTTGTGGCTTTTGATACCATGAACCATGTGTTTTACTGGACACCTACAGGGGTTGGGGACAGAAAGTACTCTGGAGTCCTTGGGGTTCTCTGAGCTTGGTTCTTTCCTTGCAAACATTTCATTACCTGGCTAGGTAACATCTTCAGTGCTGAAGATGTTACCTAGCCGGGTAATGAAACGTTTGCAAGAAAAGAACCAAGCTCAGAGAACCCCAAGGACTCCACAGTTCAACCCTGAGCTACACATATTCGCCTCCATTGCTAGAAAGTACTCTTTTGCAATGATTCCTCTCCTTCCTCAGTGGATGGTTCTGATATGTTACAGTGGGGGATGAGGCTCTGGATTTATGGGATACCATAGAAGTCACTTTTCTTTCCCATTTCTTAGCATCTGTATGAAACTGCTGGGGGAGGTCATCCAATCGTTTGGGGTGCAGTATCATCAGTATCAGCTGATGATGCCCAATTATACCCGGCTATAGGGGAGATGTTGTTGATGTTTTATCCTGGTGCCTGGAGGCTGCTAAGGTCTGGATGAGAGAAAACAAGCTAAAATTAAATGGAAGCAAAATGGAGTTGCTATTTGTATATCGGGTTCTCCACCAACTCCAGTGGTGCCTCTGTATGGGCAGGTGCTATGTGTGAAGGAGTAGGTTCTCAGTTTTGGGATTCTTCTGGACTCATGGCTCCTTTGTGAAGAGGGAGTGGAAGCTATGGCTAGAAGGCCTTTGCCCAGCTGGAGCATCAGCTGCAACCTTACATGGTACAGGAGGACTTGGCTACAGTAACTTATGCCCTCATCACCACCCATATAGACTACTTCAATGTGCTTTACTTGGGGCTGCCTTTAAAGATTACCTGGAAAATATATCTGGTCCAAAATGCAACAGCCCATTTGTTAATGGACTCCAAATGCTGAAGCATTTAATATCGATACTACAGGTCCTGCTCTGATTACTGATTCAGTTTGAAGTTCAGTTTAAATTGTTGGTTTTAATCTATAAAGCCTTTTATAGCTTGGCACCTGCTCCTTTCAATAAATGGTATCTTTTAATGTTATATTTCAGCCAGAGTAGTCATCCTATCATGTCTCCATTATGTCTAGTAAATCATATTTGCCCTTCTGTACTAAGAGATCAAGTTTACTCTGTTTATTTCCATGGTAGAAGCATTAACATATAAACAATGAAGGCCATGAAGTTTATGAGCCAATATTCTTTTGCATTTTCACTGAGTGGTTTAGGAGGAGGAGGTCGTCCCATTTCAACAAGACTCTACTTCCTATAGTGTGCAGGTCTTAGTAGCTTTAACAGCTAGTGTTGGCTAGTGATTGAACACATTGCCATCTACCCAGGTGAGAGATGAAATAATTCATTTGATGGAAGATAAAAAAAGATGATAGAGTTGACCACCTGACTGGGAAGCATTACATAGCTTTGTGAGCCTCCAAGAACTTCATGGAGCTTGCTTTCAATTTGCAAATTAATAGAAAAAGTTAAAATACAGTAAGTCTGCAATACTGTATCTTCAGAAGAAAACTGACTCTATAAAACTATGATTCTGAAACCACTTATTCATAAAAGACAGGAGCAAAAAGCAGCCTGTCTTTTTACATGTAAGATATATGCAACCAGTTGATTATCTGGTGGGAACATAACTGAACATCACACACTGTTATTTGATTTATCCAAGGTGATGGTATACAGTAGTTTATTTTAATCTGTACTTCCCTGTTCTAGCTGTTCAATGCCCACCACTGAAAACTCCAGAGAATGGCAAAGAAAACTGCTCTAATACTTATGGACACTTTGCATATTACTCCAGCTGCATCTTCTCCTGCAACTCTGGGTTTGAATTAGCCGGATCAGAGAAGCTGAACTGCACAGATCAAGGAAACTGGACAGGAGAGACGCCTGTCTGTAAAGGTAGGTTTTAGGAAACAACATGCGTTGAGGGCTAGAAGTTGTCCATCTCTGTAATAGTGGTTCATCTCCAAACTGAATATAGCCTTATTTTTAGAGGTAGATGATAATAGTCTAGGAGCTTCAGAAAATGAGAAATATAATTTGTTCAGGATTGGAGAAAATGAAAGAAGTGTTTAATTTTCAGTAAGTTGCTTTTCCTAGCTATCTACATATCCTATAATGCCCTTGGTGTTATTTTTGTAGACTTTATACGATAGATCAGCACCTTTGAGGCCTACAAAGCTGAATGCTACACAACACAGTTTATTCTTGTGGCATACTGCCTGTTTGATAGTAGGCTTTTTAGTTTATAATTCCAAACAAGCAGCAGAAATAACATATTTGATATCTGTCCACACCTTAGCAACAGAAATGCTCTCTGCATGTTTAGTTTATTACAAGCATATACCAGAGCAATTAAAAAATTTTTTTATTTTATTTTATTGGATCTAGAAACCACCCACCTCCCAGTGACTCTGGGTGTCTTACATAATAAAGTAAATAAATCAAAATCAAAACATAATATAGATAAAATAATATACCAAAGCACATATAAAAATGCTTCATGCAGAACAGAATATTTATTTTTCATTGACTTTTCTTTTTCTTTCTTTCTTTCTTTCTTTCTTTCTTTCTTTCTTTCTTTCTTTCTTTCTTTCTTTCTTTCTTCCTTCC